GATATCAGAATACTTGTGAGATGTGCCAGACCTTCAGAAAGGGGCGAGTCGCTGCTTTGTTATTTATAGATCAGATGTTTGTCTCAAACTCAGATCGTGTTTGCTGTCTCCATCCAACTGTGTTGGCTCAAAGTAACTCTCCAAGACAAGCTCCTGAGGTCCAGCTTTGTGCTGGATCCATCCTTCCCTAACGCAGAATTCATCGGCTCCTGATCCTGATTCTGCTCCATGGACAGGTAGCTCTGTGCATGCTTGGCTCGGTCCTTGGTGTGAGGTTCCTCTGGGGCTGCACAGCTGAGGGGTTTCCTCACCTTCATCCATCTCGTGACTCATCCTAAACTGATATCACTGCAGGTTTGGTTAATTTGGTTAATTCTTCCTTCGCTGCCTGAGCTTCTCTTTGCCAGCTAAGAGGAGTTCTCTTGGTGTGCTTTTAGAGTCCCAGATGTTGTCCTGGTGTGGTTTGTAGGGTCTGTGTGCTGTTTCCCGTGCAGTTCCCATCTTCCCAGCCAGCACACACGTCCCCACAGCCGTGTCCCCTCAGCAGGCAGCTGCACAAGGCTCTGCTGTGTGCCCGTCACCGGCGGCTCTGCGTGTGACAGCCGAGGGAGGAGGTGCTTGTGCACTAATGGTGCGGCTTTCACTGCGGCCTGGGGTGCCTTGATGTGCCCCGTGTGTACAGACAGGGCTCTGCTGGGTGCTGGTGTGGGTGCAGTGGCTGATGGCAGCGCTGGGTGTTGTGTCCTTACACAGCCGCCCTTACAGGAGGAGCTTTGTGCTCTGCGGGGGACTCACAATCCATCACGGCAGAGACGTGGACCTGGTGCTGTGATATCCTCTCAGTGAACCTCTGAAGCAGCCAGAAAGCAGCAGAGCTGTTGTTTGATCGTGTTCCATTAGCTCCTTCAACAGCGACCTGCCTTTCCACCCGGGGGTTCCATTCCCAGGTCTGTGTCTGGGAATCCTGGCTCCCCCAGCATGGCACAGGGATATCTTTCACCCAGAGTGACAGCCTGCACAGGGAATGGGGTAAAACAGCCATGAAAGAAGGCTGAGGAGGGTGAGAGCAGCAGCAAGTCCAGAGCAAGTCCAGGTGCTTGTTGCTGCGTGCACCTCTGCTCCGTGCTGAGTAATTCCTAATTACAGCCCCATCCCGAGGCAGACGGGAGCTCAGGTGGGATCTGGGCCACTCTCCCAGCCCCAGTGCTCGGGGCAGGAAAAGGTGAGCTGAGGACAAAGCCAGGGGCTGAGGCAAAGCAGCGTTTTCACTCCATCAGATTGTTGTAAAGCTGATGCATCCATTCCCATGATACCTTTGGAATCTGCTGCTGAGGATGGCACAGGTGGTGTGGGAAAGCTCTGGGCATCTCCCACCTGTAGGGGTAGGAATACTGGCCTCAATAATCCCTGCAGCTCTTTAAGTGCTTTTAGGGCTTTCTCAAATGCCTGGTTTAGGATGAGGGGAAGGCTGGGGGTGTGGAGGTGCTCTGACTGCCCCAAATGGCCTTTTCCTCCCCTTCAGTGAGTCACTCACCTTCCCAGCTGTCCTTCCTCAGCCTAGAGGAGGAAAAAACTTCCCGGGGAGCAGAGAGGGGATGAAGCCTCATCCTCTCCCATGTCTCCTTGCCCTGTTGGACCTTTCCATGGCTGTTTTGTCTGCACACAGGGAGAGTGGAATAACTGAGCATCTGAATTCCTCTGGTTATTCATGTTGGGACTGAGTGACACATGCAAGAAATGAAGTGATGCAGAGGGTTTTTTTCATTTTAATCTGTGTCCATAGTGTGGGATAGCTGGGCTCCCCTGCCCGGGAGCAGAGACTGTTGGGTCCTCTCCATTCAGCCATTTTCCTTCTTGAAATTGCTGAATTATCTTCAACAAACTGGTACTAGAAAGATAAAGTCACTAAATCCCACACAAGCTCATCTCGATGGATTTTAATTAACCTTTTCCCTGCAGCCCTGCTCTGTAATCCAGGCTAATTGCTGCAGGGATTAAAGCCTGGCACTGCTGCTTGGCCAGACAGAGCAAACCTCGGCAGTGTTCCTCCTGCCTGTGCTTCCAGCTGGGATCCATCGCCTCCTCCTCAGCCCTGCAAGGAGATAAACTGCCTCTGCACCGAATATTTAATACTTTGCAGAGCTGCTGTTGCCACTTTCTTCCCCCTGACATGCAGCTCTTGTTGGAGATAAATCAGTATTCCTTCTGGAAGGACCTGTGCATGTTCAGGGAGTGCAGCCAGCCAAAGCCATCTCATTGCTCTGTGCCCCTGTTTTTTTTTTGGTTTTGTGTTCATCTTCTCTAATGTTTTATTGCTGTGTTACCCGTGTTAGTCCATGTAGGTGTCTGAGGTTTCAGAGATTGTTTCTGCTCAGGAAGGAGTCTGGGATGAGCCTTCTTTGCAGAAGATATGAGCTCCAGTTTCTTTACACAGCAGAGATATTTCCCTGCCCATTGATGCAAGCCCCACTCCCCATCCCTTGCTGTGTCGGGCTCCTGCCTCAGTTGGCTTTGCCTGGTACCCACTGCCCTGTGCATGCAGAGCAGGGCTTGGCAAACTCTGTCCTGGCACGGCTCTGGCTTGCTCAGAGTCAGCTGAAGAGAAGCCTGTATGCTTCTCATTTTCTCTCCTTTGGTATTATTAATTTCAACCACATTTTGTCAGCTCTCCAGTAGGAAAAGAGCCCTGGCGTGCCACGAACCACAGCTCGCTCAGTGTCACGTAGGGCTCAGGTCCTGCTGCCAGGACCTGCACCAGGGACAATGTGACCCTTCCCAGAGCTGCTCCTCCTGGCCCTGGGAGCAGCTCCTGCTGCTTCCCAGTCCATATTCCCAGCTGGTGACCCTGGGCACGCCTGGAGATGCTGCTGCTGCCAGGGGTGGCTGGTGGATCTGTCCCCTCGCTGCCCCTGGGGACAGTTTTGTTTTGGTCACACCATGGTGCAGGATATCCCAAAATCTCCCTGGCACTGCAGAGGAGATCAGCGAGGCTCCGGGAGGGGCTCTGGGATGGGGTGGGTTACGTGGGGGTGGTGGGTGACTCTGCAGCCATGGGGTGAGGAAGGACTGGCTGCTGTCCCAGGCCAGGGGGGGCTGGGATGGGGATGGGGATGGGGACAGCCCTCTGGAGTCATGGAGATTTAGAGGGTGAAAAGTACAAAGGGGGAAGAGGAGACACGGAGAGAGGAGATGTAAAATTACTGAGTATGAGTAATGGGGTGAAAGTAAGAAGTTTACTCAACACATCACTAAGTTTCTTGGACAGTAAATTCTCTATGGTTTCAGATTAGAGTTGAAGGGAAGCAGTGGAATAGTCATTTAAATTCAGACCAAAAAAGTTTATTATGCTACATAAAACCTTCCCAAACCCCAGTTTTCCTGTTCTTGAGCTGAACAGAGCCAGTTTTGTGTATTAATAGCTAATCCTGCCCACAGAGATGAGTAGGGAGTGCCTCAGAGGCTCTAGGGCTCTGCAGTATCCCAAGTGTGTGCAGAGGAAAATTATTTAATCAGAATTAGGTTGCTTTGACCAGCATCTCAGACTCATGCCATCACATTTTTCCCCTTGAAAAGCTCTTTGGTTCACTCTTCAGAGAGCATCACTCAAAGCTTATGTTACACCTCAAAAATCTATTCATTTTCCTTTCTTTCAGTATTAAGTGTCTTGGAAAAAAACAGGAAGAAAATAGCAAAACCTCCTAAAAGGCTCAGTCCACTGAATAAAGCAAAGGGCTGGCATTGCAGAAATGAGCATTTTGCTGATTTTGTGGTCTCCATTTGCTGGAGACCACAGCTGCAGTGGGAGCTCTGCAGGAGGAGCCCAGCATGGCCAGAGCAGCAGGACACCCCCAGACAAGGTTGGGGGTTCCCTGGGGACAGGAGGGGTTTTCATGATCTCTGACCTTTAGATTTTAATGTCTTAAGCCTTGCTAAGAAAAGTGTTCTGAGAAAAGGGTAATTTTCTATGATCACTGCAGAGCTCAGACTCAAACAAGCATCACCTTTCCCACTTTGCTTCCTGTTCCATCCCTGACCCAGACCTTCCCTTACTGCTGGCTGATTTTCTTGGCAATTAATCTGATGAACCGAAGATTTGGCTCAGCCAAAGCTGTGTTGTCCTTTTTTTTTACTTTTTTTCCTGCCCTTTGCCTTCACCAGTGGGTGAAGCAGAGCTGTGCTGGGGCACCAGGCACTGCTGGGCTGGGTGTGGGCACAGGGCTGGGCACGTTCCTGCACCTCTGGCGTGCAAGGACACGGCCAGGACCCCACCCTGCCATGATTCACTCAGGAAATGATTCTTTATCTTCTCAGTAACAGTCGTGGATGGGAGGGAGATGGGAACTCGGCTCGGTTTGGGCTATCCTCGCTGGGAGGGGTTTGGGTGAGCTGGAGGTGCAGAAAGTGCAAAGAGAAACACGAGGAGACCCAAAGCTGCTGAAGTTTTTCTCTCCATGGGGGAGGGAATGGCTGGTTGGGGGCTTTGCTGTTCGTGTGGGTGGGATCTGGTTCCCCGCTCTGATCCTTTCCAGTCTGAAAGGTTGTGTGGGTGCACACCTGTGCACACCCAAAACTGCAGGAATTAAGGAACTGTGCAGCTCTGTCCACATCATCTCCATGTTTCGGTGGCACAGGAAGAAATCTGCCTCAGAAACTTAAAATTTCCTTTGACAAGCAAGGAAGTGTAAAATATGAATGAATCCATTATCTTGGAGTCAGTGGGGTAGGTGACCATTATGAGGTGAGCAGATGAGGATGGTTTGTGCTGACTGACAAATCAGATCAGGGTTTTTTTTTGGTGGTTGTTCACTAATTGCAGGTTTGTCCCTGGAATTTCACAAGTAGCTTGGCTGACCAAACATAACAAAATGGCCAATCTTGTTCCCTTTGCTTTCATCCCTCAGATCCGGAGTTGGGCCACAGAGAATAAATATTCCTGAGCTCAGCCACCCTCCTGTCCACTCTCCTGAGCTTTTCTCCACTTTTCCCTTGTTTTTTTGCAGATGTTGACGAGTGCCAGGTGCACAATGGGGGCTGCCAGCACCGATGTGTGAACACCCTGGGCTCCTACTACTGTGAGTGCCAGCCTGGATTCCGCCTGCACACGGATGGCAGGACCTGCCTCGGTAAGGTCCCCTGGAAATCCCTTGGGAATCTCTTCTCTTGTTCTTTGCAGCCCTTTTCCTACCAGTAAATCTATGGCAGTGCACAGAAAACCTTGATTTCCTCACTCCCACCCACCCTCTGTGCCCAGAGTGTGAGATAATGCTGGTGGGTTGTGTGTTCATCTGTGTCCCCGTGTCTTCCCTCACAGTTTCTGTCCCTGGGTTCTAAACATTTGCTGTTTTTCCATGTGCTTTGCTGTCCCCGAGTTTATTCTGGTTCAGGAGAAGTAACTCCCAAGTGCTTTGGTGCCTCTGCTTTTGATACAGGATAAATCAGATATGGCATTCTCAGAAAAGATACATAAATAAAATTATGAGAAATTTCAAGTCAGGCCTCATTTTGACCTCAGTATTTCCCCAGCCCATGCCGTGGGCAGCAGATGTGACAGATAAGTGACAATAAATGTGGCTGTATGAGGAACTGTGGCCATAAAAATCCAAATCATTCTTTTCTGGGATGATGGTCATGAATCCTCTTGGATGGTGCTTGCCCAAACATCATCATCCAGGCACTAGGTTTGCCCTGCAGGTGATTTTGGGGCCAATTCCTTGAAATATTGTTGTCTGCCTGCCCCAAATGGGAGGCTCAGAGTGGAACTCTGAGTCTGCCTCCAGCATCTGTGGCTGTGTTAATTAAACCACTTCTCCCTCAGAGCTTCATTGGACACATTTTTCCATTATTTGAGGGATATTTTCATGCAAGTGGAAAGAATTCCTGGGTGATGGTGTTTGCACAGACCATTTGCTGGGTTTTCTCGGAACACAGTCACACTCCAGAGTCCTGTGTGTGAGCCTGTGTGTTCCAGTTGGGAACGGTGCTGTGAGCAGGAAAAATCCATCCAGGGAAGCTGTACCCGCCATGCCCAGCTCTGCATGATGCACATCTGGCCACAGCTGCCTCCAGTACATAATGACCCAAAAAAAAAAAAAAAGAGTGAGATTTAAGGTGCAAGATCCCCAGGCACCCCATATTTCACTGGAAAAATCCAGAAGGAAAAGGATGGCAAATAAAGGACAAAGCCAACCCTGGCAGCTGCTGCTGCCCCAGCCCTGAACTGGAACACTCGTGTTGGGGTGATGCTGCTGCTCACATGTGGGTGTGCTGTGGTCTGTCATCTCCTAATTGTCTCTGCAATATGTTGCTCCCTGTCTTGTGGTGTGCAGCCATCCTGCAGCCGCCCGTGCCTCACAGAATGAAACGTGGGGCAGGCTGACATCAGACAGCACCAGCCCACAAGGTGGAACAGTTTCCAGGGAAAGCATAAAACGGATCGCTATAGGGAGGAATCTCTTCTTTGAGAGGAATTTCCATCATTTTCTTTCACTCTCCAGGTTTCCCTGCTGGTGTAGCTGAGCATTCCAGGCAGGCAGGGCTGCCCTGCTCCTGCTGCCCGTGCCCAGCACTGCAAACCTGCTTTGCATTAAACTTGTGAGCAAGTCTCTGCCATAACGTGCAGTGCTGGAATTCAGCTGCCAAAAGTGAGGGGGTCTCTGTTTGTGAAATCTGACCCATAGGAGTGAGTGGGGCAGTTCCTGAAGCTCTGGGGAGTGGAGCCTGCAGGATCTGCAGTGAGTTTGGGGTGCTGGTACCCTTGGGATCCAGGAAAGCAAAAGCCTCTCACTGCCTAGTTATCTAATGTTTCTAAAATATCAATAGAGTGGGATCTAAAATGGAGCTTTCTCATTTCAGGACTGGTGTTTTTTTCTCTCTACACGTTTGTGCCTGTCCATGTGTGTATGTCACACCTTCACAGAGCTCTGTACTGAACCATTAAACCAGTCGTGAGGAGGGGTGGAACATCTTTTCCTTATAAAAACTCAGAACAGAGCACAGGCTCAGAGGTGACTCCTCTGCTGGTGTTTGTGGCTGTCCTGTTGTACCCACAGACTCCAGGTTGCCTTGTGGTCTGTTCTGAGGGATTTGGGGTAACTGCTCAAAGCTGTTTTTCTCTTCAAGTTTCTCTCATTTTCTGTAGAGATTCTGTGCTGTTAAAATGCAAAATATTGCCACTAGATATAGGGAATAGTCCAGGAATGAAGGGAACTGGAGACAGTGAGTATCCATCCATCCATCCATCCATCCATCCATCCATCCATCCATCCATCCATCCATCCATCCATCCTTGTCCTTCTGCTCAGGGAAGCTCACATCTCCACACTGGGACAAGCACAAATTTGGGTTGTAGGAAGATCCTGACAGCCCCAGCGAGAGTGTTCTGGAGACAGAAAACTGACTTTACAGTCAAGTTTCTGGTTAAGGGTTGTTAAATCCTGGATCTAATTCTTGAAATGCTTTCTGGCCCCCACAAAACCCACCAAGGCTCCAATGACAGACTGGCAGCGCTGAGCTGGAGCCCCAGAATTCCCCCACAATGCTGGCATGGCCAAGGCAGCTCTCCAGGGTTAGCTGGAACCTGGGGCTGTGACTCAGGAGAGCACAAAAACGGCTTAAAACCATTCCTGTGCCCAGCTCTCAGCTGCTGCTGGTGCTCTGCAGCTCGGCTGTGCAGGATCCTTTTGTTGTGTCTTTGTTCAAATCGCTGCTGAGAGAGGGAGAAGAGGAGCAGCCACTTCCATTGCAAGTGAAACAGAACAAAGAGAGGCCTTGGGCGTCCTGAAATCACCTCTTTTTTTTATCAGAACCACATGGGCAGAGGCAGGAAGCTGACATCTCCAGGTCCTTCTCCACTGTTTCAGCAGAGGGATGCAGGCCAGGCTGAGGGGTTTAATGGGAGCCAATTGCTTTTGTTGGCCTGAGGAGCAGAGAGATGGTCTGGATTAACACACAACATGTTTCTGGAAGTTGTCTGAGGTTAGGATAAATCAGTTTGGGATTACATGATGGATCCCTATTTATATTAGGAGAACTTCAAATGAAGGAATCTCAAGGATAGGGGTGATATAATGAACAGGAGGACCATGCCATGTGTGGGCTTGAGCTGTGTGTGCAGGGGGTCAGCGACCATGTGTGCTTGGTGTGGCTTTTCATTTTGCAGGCAGCTCGCACATTTTAGGGAATTTGACCTTTTCTTTGCCCCATCACACATTTTTCAGCCTTTTCTTAGGAACCATGGGGTTTGTGTGATGCTTACAGCTGCTCACAGTCACTCTTGGGGCATCAACTCGCTGCTTCTGGTGGCAAATCACTTGGATCTGAAGGAAAGGTGAGGGAGAGGAAAGAGGAGAAGTGAGAAGAGAGAGGAAAAGTCAGAAGGGCAGCTGGAAGGTGCAGAGATCAGGTATTAAATCAACTCCTGAGTTAGGCTGCTGCTGCACAGATCCACTTCCCAGGGGTAGTCAGCAGCAAAAACCTCCTTTCCATCCCTCTTTATCCATTTCCCAGGCCTGAGAGGGTCAGAATCTGGGAGCAGCATCTTCCAGCAGCACTGCACTCCCCTCAGACAGCGGGGCTGGAAGGAACCTCCCTCTCGCAGACACTGAAATATCATCTGTGGAAAATCTGTCTGAGCTGTAATTACAAAAATCTGTGTGATGTACAGGATGACACTGGGTTTGGCAGCCTTGTCACAGAAATGTTAAGCTCGGCAGAGCATCTGGGAATGGAAATATTTTTAGAGTGGTTCTGTAAACAGAATAAAAACCCCGAGCAGTAATTAAAACAAGGCCAGCAGTGAGGGCTGCTGGCTGTGACTGCGAGGAGCCAGCTAAGGAGACCCAGGCTCTCTCTCCTGAAATCTTGCGTGGAAGAACTCAGACTTTTGGGTTTTTTTCAGTTGTCTTGTAGGAGTTTGCAAGGAGCCCATTATTTAGACTTCAAATTCACCCGAATAACTGCATCCTGGGAGGTTATTTTAGACATAAGATGCATTGGCTTGTTTCATGTTGGCCCAGTGCTTTTCCCAGATGAAGGAATGTTTTGGCAGGCATCAGCATTGTTTGACTTATTTTCTTTTTTATTTTTAAAAAAAGCTCTCCAACAAGCACATTATTTATGGCTATTTTTGAATATATGTTATTAAACACTTAAATATATTGGAATATTTTTAAATGACCACCCATCTCTGCTAGAGCTTGAGTAGTGTAACTCTGACCCAGAGCTTTTCAGGAACGTTGAGTATTTCTGTTGTTTCCTTCCAAATGGATTAAAGGAAACAATGCCAGCACCACTAACATAAACCCCGAGTTCTTGCTCCAGCCTTATGTTTTGTATGGCAAAATCTTGACATGTCAAGCTGCTTTCCCCCCCCCCAAATATTGTTTAGCTAATTAAAGGCATAAAATGCGAAGTTGAGTTTTTTTAACTTTTGGGATGAGAGTGGTCCACAGCTCTGAGTTAAAGCATATTTGCTTTTGCAGGGGAATTGTGTTCAGAAAAAAAAATGAAAATATATGTTTTTTTGCCTTTATTTTTGTCCTGAGCCAAATATTTGTTTTCACTAATGTACAAGAGCAAGGACCCAACTTGCCTTGGGATTCAGAAGTGTGTTACAAGCAGAGATTTCAGCTGGCAGCTGCTTTCCAGGCTCTCCTGCTTCCAAAGCTCTGGGGGTTGTGGAGGGCACTGTGATCACCTGAAGCATCAGCCTGGGGAGAGATGGTTTTCATTAGAGATATTTTTAGCTTTCCTGTAAGATTCCTCCAAGCCAGCACATTAGTTTATTCTGGAGTTTGAAAAATAGGTCAGAAATGTGTGAGCCCAGAGCTCATGGTTCTGCTCCCCTTATGGGAGCCAGGGCTGGGTTTCCATCCTGGACAGGGGCTGGGTTGAGCCATGTTCCACCAACCCAGGGGGTTGTGACACTTTGGTGGCTCCAAAGAGACAGAAAAGGGTTTAAAGGCCAATTTCCCAATTCTCATGAGGGACACCTCTCGTTGGAGAAGCTCAGTGCATCAGGAGTTGGGTGGGTTAACTCAGGGGACATCCAGTGCTCCAAGAGGGGACTTGGATGGCTTTGGAGGCATGTCATTATCCCATGATGGCTTCTCTACCAGAGTCCATGAATCCAGCTCCAGAAATCCCTTCCCTGTTTTGTTTCCCAGCTAAAATTCCTCCTGGATCCAAGGCTGCTGGTCCTGGAGAGCTGCAGTAAAAACAAACACACTGACACACTCAAGGTGCTCCCATCCCAGTTAAACACCCCTCTCCTCTGCTGAGCCTGCAGAGACATCCCAGATTACAGGAACAGGAGGAGGAGGCTGTTCCCTGGCTGATTAATGACAGCAGGCTTGTGAGGAGTCCACGTGTTGGGCCACAGGGTCTGTTTTGTGCTGTAGCCCAGGCAAAACCTTCTGTTTCCTGACTTTGGAATCCACCGGGCTCCTTGTGCAAGGCCACACAGAAATGCTGTGGTGCAGCCAGGAACTCCAGTTTGGAATCTCAATTCCCAGTCCTGCCAGCACTGGGGATGAAATCAGAGCTCCTGCTGCTGTATCTCCATGTGCTCTGCCTGGGTGACAGCACCAGGGACCCCATGTGCCCCAGGTTCCACACAGGGCTCCTGGTCAGAGCCTTGAGCTGGGGGTTCTTACACCTGGTGCAGGTATGGACACACAGGATGCATCTTAAAACACTTTTCCCTGAGAGTTCCCAGAGCTGGCAGCACCTTCTGGGCCTCGCCCTGTGTGACTTTTGCACATCACAGAGCCAGAAACTCAGTTTTTGTTACAGGAAAACCTGAATGTGCCTGAGCTCAGCTCTCTGAGCAGTAATGGCTTGAACCAACTGTGCCACTGCACCTGCAGGGACTGTCCTGGAACAAAAGGATGGGAATTTCAGCAATAGCACAGAAGGCTGGCTGCTGACACGGCACCCTTCGGAGAGGGCGGATGCCTGGCAGGAAACCTGCTTCCCTGCCATGGAGTGCTGGACAGGACCTGACCCAGCTCCCTGTGTCCTGGAATCACCTTCAGAGACAGTGCTGGGGCTTCTTATGGTGGGAAAGAACCATTCTAAGCTCCTACCCAACACTCATGAGCTGATCTTGCCCTGAAAGAGCTGGGTGCCCACCCAGCACGGTGGTGGGTGGCTCCTCCTGCACTGCCCAGAGGCTTTTGCAGCAACATCTCCCACTTAACACCCTCCTTGCTTGGCCATGAACTTGTCACTGAATGTGCTCCAGTCTTAAATCCTCAGGAGCTTGAAGTGTGTGCAGTCTGCCCTGGTCCTGTGGTACCTTCACTCACGCAGGTGCTGCCCTTTGTGTCCCTTTGCCTTGCAGCTCTGAACTCGTGTGCCCTGAACAACGGTGGCTGTGAGCACGACTGTGTGCAGGTGACCCTGGCCCAGCACCGCTGCCAGTGCAGGCACAACCACCAGCTGCACCAGGATGGCAAACGCTGCATCCGTGAGTCTGGGGCGGGCTGGGGAGACACAGCTTCCAGCTGGGAACTGCGGGATGGGGATGCTCAGATGTCCAGCAGATCAGACTGGGGGATTTCCAGTAAAAACTCTGTGTGTTTGGTTGTCATGGACATGTCCTGTGGCTTATGGGAAGAGCTGGAGGAGTGTAGCCAACAAAAATGAAACTGTTTGAAGGCACAGGCTGTTGTGGGAGTGGAGGGACAGCAGAGTGGGGCAGCAGGGTGGGATCCTCTCCCTGTCTGGCTGATCTGCTCCTGGCTCAGGAGGGAGAGAAGCTGAAAGGGATAGAAATCAAGGTTGTTCTCATTCATAGCAGCTGGCATTCCAAAGGCAGGAGGGAGGGAAGTCCTGAGCTGTGAAGTTGTGATGGTAAAAGGAACAACTGGGATGTTACAAACGCAGCAGTCAGTGGGGTTTGGAGCATCTGTCCTGGCCCTGGGCAGGTCAGAGATTGGCAAACCTCTGGGAAGGAGCACTTGGAGCAAATTGCCAGCACTTGCTCTGTAATCTCTGCAGAGGGACGTGCCTGTGCCAAGCTTCTGCTGGAAGGGTTTTACCCAGCTTAATGCCAGCCTTGTGCAGGATCTCACACCGTGTAAATCCTCCTGAACGGATGGAGCAGGGATTTTCTGCCTGGTGCAGGACAGGCTTTCACAGACTGCAGGTTTTCCTGCTGCTCTGCTCCCTCCCAGTGCCGCAAGAGGCAGGATCATGTGGGCAGCAGCACAGGGGCTTTGCACCACATAGGTAGTGGTTTATCAATCAGTCTGCCCGTCTTCTTCTCAGAGCCAGGATTAACTGAAACACAGTAGAAACAGTTTTTTCTTGTGTTCGGGCTTGGTTGTTTATTATATCTTATCAGAAAGTGCAGAGAGTATGACAGCACTTCCAGCTCCTTGCTAGAAGTAAGGAAAAATGGCTACAGAGGCAACTGCTACAAGGTCTTGTAAGGCTAAACAGTCCAAAAGAGAATTAACACCTATATTATTTATACCTTTGACCTAATAACTACATTCCCATGACCCTTAGAGTGACACTGACTGACCAACCCGAAACTCCTACTTGAAAACCATTAAGAAGAAGGAAGAAGAAGAAAGATGAACAAAGAAAGAGACAATGCCCAAAAATCTACATCTTGTCCTATACCTCTTACTATACTATAACAACCTCAAATTTAAAACCCATCACCCTGTGAAAGCACACACTTCTAATTCTCTACACACTCGTGATTTTTACTTCACCACTCACATTTAGAAGCCGTCTCCAAGGCCTCAGGTCCAAAGCAGTGTTTTCCAGGGGGTCAGTGCCTGAAACCACAGAAAGCTCAAAAACTCCAGATTTCTGGGATCCAGCAGGATCAGTGTGGAATGACCCGGGCTCTGTGCTCTGCCTGCAGTGAGGAACCCGTGTGCTGACAGGAACGGGGGCTGCATGCACCTCTGCCACAGCCACCGCGGCCGCGCCCGCTGCGACTGCCACCCCGGCTACCAGCTGGCCCCTGATGGCAAGGCCTGCCAAGGTGAGTGCCCTGCAGAGCTCCTGAGGAGGAAAATCTCTGTGTCTCGTGGGTGAGGGAGTGCTCAGTGTGGACAGAACAGGGTGAAGCAAACACCTCCCTCGAGATGGTTCAGGTGGTGTCTGTGCGAGAGCCCTGCTTGAGCTGTCTGCAACAACAGACAGCTGCTCCAGGGGAGGTTTAGGCGGGAGAAATTCTTCACAGAGAGGGTGATCAGGCATTGGAATGGGCTGTCCAGGGAGGTGGGGAGTCCCTGTCCCTGGAGGTGTTTAAGAATAGACTGGATGTGGCGCTGAGTGCCATGGTCTGATGACAAAATAGTTTTAGATCATAGATTGGACTCGATGTTCTCAAAGGTCTTTTCCAACCTAATTGATTCTGTGATTCTGTGAATGCTGTCTCAGTGTCATGTGATCCAATCTCCTGGGAAGCTTTACAGCAATTCCAAACTCTTAACTCTGTGTCTTTGTTGGTCTGGCTTCCAATGAAGAGTTCAGGGTGCAAGTAACCGGTGCAGAACTCAAATACCATAACAATAGTACCTTTGGAAGGATGTTTAAGCTTCAGCCTACTTATCTTATGGTTTCTCCCTCTCCCAGATGTGAACGAGTGCCTGACAGGGCTGGCCATGTGTGCACACCAGTGTCTCAACACCCGGGGCTCCTTCAAGTGCACCTGCAACCCGGGCTACGAGCTGGGGGCGGATGGCAAGCGATGCTACCGTGAGTACTGTGAGCTCAGCCCTGCCCAGCAGGACAGGGCAGCCCTGGGCTCCTGCAGGCACGTGTTTGTCACTGCCCTCTGGGAATGGCCAAGGCCAAGCTGTGGCAATCTCTGCTGGAGGATTTCACAAGCAGTTTTTGTTTACTCCCCCACCAAGATAAAAATCTTGGTCTGATCTTTAAAGTCACCACGAAGCCACTTTAGCTGGTTAAGGCAATTGATTTGGAGCCATTTGGCTTCAAATAAGCCAAGTTCTGCTCTTGAGGACTCTGCTGGACGAGCTCAGTCAGCTGCAGATGTGTCACTGGAGGAATCAAGCCAGTGAAGGGATCACATCTGCTCCCATCAAGGAAAGAAATAAACTCTGTGATGCAAGAGTGAGCTAGACTGTCCTCACAGCTCTCTGCAGCTGCTGCAGCCCAGCAGGGCCAGGCTGAGCCAGAGCCACCAGCCCCTCTCAGATGACAGCCACCATGGCAGTCCCAGTGCTGGCAACTGGTGTTACTGGGAGCTCTGAGGGTCCCCTTGTGCCACTGCTGGAGCTTTGCAAGGGCAAAAGGGCAAGGCTTTGCAGGCCATAAATGGGTCTTGAAAGGCATCAAACAGAGCAGTGTGGGGCACCAGGATGATGACATGAGATTTAAAAGCCTAAGTATGTACACAGCTTTCTTCTTAGGGACAGAGGCCATCTCACACCATAAGCACTGACATTGCCCTGGGGTCAGCAAAGCAGCCTTTCCACATGAAAAGTGTTTCTCCCTGCCCTTCCTAGCATATTTCTTTTAAGCAAAACCCTGTTTGTGCTGCTTTAATAAGAAAAGGGAAGAAAGGGATGACAATCATGTTGTAAAATCTGGAAAAAGTCTTCCACTGTGGCACAGCTTTTGTTTATGACAAGCACAGATCCATTGGGAAGCATCAAGCTCCCTTTCTTTCATCCTCTTTGGGTCTGCATGCACGAAAAACTCAGTGTTCTTGAAGGCAGAAATTGTTTTCCTGAGGTTCAGGACTGAGTCAAAGCTCCATGAAACAAGTTCCTTTTAGTTTAAGAAAGCTTAATTAACTAGACAAGTTTACAGAAACCTTGCCAACCCGGATGATCTATGGCTGCAATTGATGTTTGCGCTGACCACTTTTGACATGTCAGGAGCTAACAGTTCTCGCTGTAGGCATCTGGATGTTTCCCTACTTAGCTGTGTTCTGCTGCTCCCATTTCTCCCTGGCACCAGAACAGCTCTGCTCTGAGGCTGAGCCAACTTTTGGTTGGCAGCACACGCTGCTGCTTGGCAGGAGTGGGAGCAGTTTCATCCGCAGCCTGTTCATCCCAGAGATTGTCCAGAGCCTGCTCCACAACCCCTTCCCTAAGAGGCTGCGTGAGATCCAGAGGTTTCTTTTTATACCCCGCTTCCCAGCCCAGCAGTGGCCTCTGTGCTGAGCTATTTCCATCCTTTCCCACTGCAGATCCCCCTCCTCAGCAGTGCCAGGGGCTGGTGGGGGCAGGCAGGGGCCAGCAGTGTGTGCAGATGTGTCCCACAGGATCCTGACCAGGCTGCCTTTTCCAGGGATAGAGATGGAGATTGTGAACAGCTGTGAAGCCAACAACGGGGGCTGTTCCCACATGTGCCACCACACCAGCTCTGGCCCTGTCTGCACCTGTAACTTTGGCTTTCGGCTGGAAGAGGACCAGAAGTCGTGCACTGGTAAGGAACAGAAAAGGGCCAGACCTGGATTTCCAAGCACTTCCCAGGTAATGGTGAGGATTCCTCTTGGGATCTTAGGTCAGGATCCATCTTGGCTACTGTGTATGTGCACTTCACACAGGCTAAAGAGGATAGAAACTGATGGGAAGTGAGAGCAGATGAAATACTGCTCTGCTCAAAGATATCCCCAAACTTCCCTCACGATATACCCTGACTGCACTTGTGACTTGAACAGCAATTATGACTTCCAAAATAATTAGTTTTCCCAAATGAAACTGCCCTAAGCAGGAGTCAGTCAGCTGGAATCACCCTGCTGAGGACACGAAAACTCTGACCACAATCCCCATCTGGGGATCACAGTGACCTTCCCTCAAGGACTCAGGATTCCCCCCTCGATGGGAGGATGATCTGTTAACACAAATCTCCCTGATTTCAAGAGGAACTCGAGAACCCTGGCTCAGCATTTGGCAGCAGATCAGTAAAAGCTCACCAGAACTAGTCAGGGAGCAGTTTAACAGCTCCTGTCACCACTCTGCACTGTATTAACACCCTTTGTTTCTCATTTAGATATCAATGAGTGTGACACCGGTTCTCACTGCTGTCAGCAGGACTGTTACAATTACCCTGGGGGCTACGAGTGCTCCTGCCACGCCGGGTACAGGCTCAGCACGGATGGCTGTGGCTGTGATGGTGAGTGCCACCACCTCCCTGGGCTCCAGGCAGAGCCTGGACACGCAGGGAATTGGTCCCTCTACTTCTATTTCAGTTTGTTTAGTGTTGGGCAGCTCAGTTCTAACCCCTACGCTAAGCCCAGCCCAACTGGAGAGGCTCAATGGGATTTTTGGACACATCAAGGTCAGACTGGGCTGACTCAGAGTGAGCTGGCCCAGGCTTGACCCCATAAATTCACAAAAAACGTTTGATGTTCAACCCCAGAGGGCAACACTGCCCATCACTTTCACCCAAGGGATGAAGACAAATAACAGTGTCTGTATGAAACACAGCCAAGGCAGTGACTAATGAAGCTTTTAATTAGGAGAACAAGAAATTGTCTTACCTGGTTGCAAACAGCCAGGCATTTCTTCCAGTTTCTCCCAGCTCCTGCCAGTTTTCCTGCCAGCTTTCTGATGAGTCACCTTCTCAACACAAAGAATGTGGGGAAAAATCCCCGTAATAATTGTTCTCACTTCCAAAGCTCTCAACAACATTTCCCAGGGGAAGGAGCCAAACACACCCACCTGTTCCTACACAATTAATAATGGATGGGAATTGAAGCCCAGCACATTTTTTTGTTGAAACTCAGGCATCCCTAATCCCTGAGGTGGTTTAACTCCATTTTTAGAGTAGATGGCTTTACATATTTAGCAGAGAGGGTGCCACCAGCCTATGACTTCTGCATGGCCAGGCATGGCTGGGCTCCTGTCCCACTGCTCCTGTCCCACTGGGGTGTCCCATGTTTTGTAGATGTGGATGAGTGCTCTGCAAACAATGGTGGGTGTGAGCACACGTGCCAGAACCAGCCAGGGTCGTTCCAGTGTGGCTGTAACATTGGGCACAAGCTGGATGAAGACAGAAGGAGCTGCATCTGTAAGTGCCTCGTCCGAGCTCCCTCCTCTGCCTCCTGTCTGAGCCAGGATCACCCAGACTGCAGCTCCTTAGCCCTGCACCTCAGCTCTTCCAGCCCTTCACAGCAGCTGAGCAGTGGCAGTGCCTCACCCCAGCCCTGGAGAGCTTTCCCAGCCACGACCAGCCCTGTGTCCTCGTTCACAGCACTGTCCAAAGAAGTGCAGGGAGTTTTGGCACAGCTACAGCTCCAACACAACCTGCAGTGATGGCTCCACATTAACACACGGCCAGAGCCCCTTCCACAGCCACCAGCCTCTACAGCTTCTCCTCATAAGAAGTAATAGATTATTTATTTGTAGCAATACAGAGATCTTGAGGTCACATACCTGGTCTGGGCCCACTCTGGCCAAAAAATCCCTGAACAACCAACCTGGGAAAGCTTTAGAGGTGTCCCAACAGGGTGAGATCAGCGCTGCAAACCTGACACCCACGGAGAGTTCTGGTTTCCCTTTGCTGTTGCAGAGCTCCTGCCCCACCGTTCACCTCCCAGGCACCTTGTCTCCTTTCCCCCCGTGACCTGTCACCTGTGTCCCTGTCCCCCAGCCACAGAGGACACGGTGGAGGCCCTGGATGGCCGGCGCCCCGTCATCCGCCCCATCCCTCACGTGGCCATCCTGCGAGATGAATTCACACAGCTCTTCAAGGACGACTACGAGGAGGAGGAGGAGATGGAAGCACGAGGGGAGCACACGCTGTCAGAGAAATTCGGTGGGCATTTGGCAGCAGCAGTCAGTGCCACACTCTGCTTGGAACTCTTCAGGAATAACAATGCAGGCTGGGTTTATTTGTTTGGTGAACATTTTCTG